AGTACTGCTAGCCCCACAGATCAAGGGACCATATGTGGTACTGGGAATCAAAATAGAGTCAGCCAAATACAAGACACACACCTTACTCCCTATGAAACAATCTGTTTGACCCTCAGTCTCATTCTTATCTCTGTATTTCTTATTTCTAGCCACCACTCCATATTATTCTGCTTTCTGATTGTCATTGTTCTCCAACGTTCTGAGTAGAGAGTGTTTTATTCATCTGTAGGTAGAAATCTATGAAAAGGTTGATGTTCTGAGATATTTCTGAATATTTTATGCTTTTCTTAATTTCGTAAGGTAACTTAGGGGTTAAATATTCATTTATTAGAGATATTTTTGGTTGACTATTTATATATTTACAGGTACTAGAGACATGAGAACTTGAACTAGAAATGAAATAATTTTAAGAATATAGAGATGAAAAATTTGTAGTAAAATCCAGTATTACTAGATTGAGAGTTTGGCCTGCAAAATGTGTGTGTGTGTGTGTGTGTGTGTGTGTGTGTGTCTGTGTGTTGTTTTATTATATTTACAAAGAAAATAATCTTAATGGTAAACCTAGCTTTAATTTTTATGCCCTTCCTTGTTTCAAACTTGACCTTCCAGCTTCTGTGTGATTGGCTTTCGTTGTGTTTAAAGATATCTTCTGGGGCTGGAGAGATAGCACAGCGGATAGGGCCTTGCACGTGGCTGACCCGGGTTTGATTCCCAGCTTCCCATATGGTCTCCTGAGCACGGCCAGGAGTAACTCCTAAGTGCAGAGCCAGGAGTAACCCCTGTGCATTGCCAGGTGTGACCCAAAAAGAAAAAAAAAAAACAATAAATAAAGATATCTTCTGGTGGCCCTATATGTTGTTTTTTCCTTCTGCCCATATGTTGTTGAAGTATTCTTATAGTTCTACATGTTTGGGACCAGAAAGTACTTTTTTTATGTCTCTCTGTATTCTAGAATTTTTGTGTTTCACTATATCCTATTTTTCTAGGGATATGCGTATCCTAGAACTTGCTTCAGAAAAACTTGAATTCACATCTGTTATCTTCAATTTTATTTTCTCTACCCTGTCATAAGTCCTTTCCTAGACTATGGAAGACATCTAATCACCTCTTCTCTTCAGCACTTAGGTTTAATTGCCAGGGATAAATTCAATAGGCATAGAACATTGAATTGTGACTAAGGACACAATTTATTGTTGACTATTTACCACATAGATAAAAGTTCTTATTTCTGGAGATGACAATAATGTCATCTGATAAATCATTTTCTTTTCCCATAGTTTATATTTTTACTTATATACCAGCATAATTATACAATGTATATAATTTGGAAGCATCTCAATTTGTGTATGCCCTTTTTATTGTATAGTGTTCATCCAAACTGGTATGTTTTTGCCTGTTATCTGTAAGAAGAATTTTCATCTTTCACTTTATGCATACTATTATTTAGCCTAAGCAGTCAATTCAACTTCGTTAAAAACAAAAAACAAACAAACAAACAAAAAAAACCCTAACTGATTTGAGGTTTATGACAAATGCTGAGAAGTATATGCTGTTCTTATTTCTTAAATTCTTTCTTGTACCCTCCTTGTTTTCAGAAGCAGCTTCTATATGTTGTAATAAGACATTCTGTGGTAACAAAGTTAAATATTAATACTATTATTTTCCCATAGTATGTCATGTGATATTCCATTAAAATATTAGTAATATTGTGCGTGGATTCATTTTTGATTTTCATTTTCCATTCTCTTAAAAGTCATGTGAAATAAGATACTATGCTTCTTTTGTATTCCCATTTTCAGTTTATAAGTCATGTATCTGTTAAAAACATTAAATAAATACTTGAAATATTGAAAGTTGAAGTATGGGTAGACATGATACATTTTGATTTCAAGAGATAACTCATTTTAAGAAAATATTTTAGTGTTTTTCCATTTATTATACAGATGTCTTATAGACATCATTATGATAAAATTCTGAAAATTTTCAACTAACTAAAATTTTATGTGAAGCACCATAGTTTTATATTTATCTTCAAAACCACCTTGCTTAAAACACATTTGTAAACTGTGCAAGTCTAACTTTGTAGATGGTACTAAAGATTCAAGTTTCTGAATGACTAGGCTTTTCAGATCAATGTATACAATTATGTTTTTAAGATCTTTTGAAAGGCCAAGCATTCTATCTCTCTCATTATGTCACTCATAAATACTATGTTTGTTTGAGTCGATTGGTTTTATGGTAGCATTTATTTCGTAATTGTTGAAGCAATATTTTCTTTCTCATTCCTACTATATCATTATACTTTTCAATCTATGAAGAATTGATAAATCATTCTCATTATATCTTCCATTGAGAGTGACTTTGTGACTTTGCTAAAAGTATAAAGGTATTTAAGCAGATTGCAGGCAGGACATATCATATTTAAATATTCCTGTCTCCTTTCCAAAGAGGTTAAGCTAAATTGTGTTACTTTCTGCTTCAAATATCATAACAGATTCCTCATACATTTCAAAATTGTTCCAAAATCCTCACCAGGGTGTTCAGACTTCTTTTTCTTTACCTAGTTTTATGACAGTCTTCTTTTCTCTAGAGTTCTTTAGTCGTGTTATAATTCTATACCCATTTGCTATCATTTAAATACTATTTTTTTTTACAAGGGATTCTTTAAAGAGCTGAGCTTCCTACCTGTAGGACTCAGCTCAAATACCACCACCTTAGAGGTCTCTTTCCAATCAGTTTTTTGTTGCTGCTGTTTTTTGGTGTTGCTACTGGTGTTTTGGGGCTACAGCCAACTGTGTTCAGGGATACCTCATAGCTTCCTCATAGCTCTGTGCTCAGGGATACCTCCTTTATGCTTGGGGACACATACAGTGCTAGGGATTGAACTCAAGTGAATCGTGTTCAAAACAAGCACTTTACCACTGTATTTTCCCTCTGGCCACTCAACAAGGCAAGCACCCTACCTCCAGGACTGTGCCCCTGGCAACGCTAATAACAAGTTTAATGTTTACCACAACCATCTATTTAACTTCTATAGTCATTACCTGTCTGTAATGTATCTTCTGTCTTCTTTAAGTTAAGATTTAGATGGCATGGATCATACCTGTGTTCAATATTTTCTGGGGTTTCTACATGTTTAAACTGTAGTGGACAGGAATATAAGAGTTTCAATGATGGCTATTATTTTTTTTAATGACTCAATCCTGAAATATAATTATATGAGCTGGGAAGTATAAGCTATTATATGTTTAGCTGATAGAGTAGGTGGTAGACTTACAAGGAACTCTAAAATTTAGAGACAGGGATTCACTTTTTCGGGATTAAGTCATGCAGATTAATGGCACCTTTATTTACAAAAAAATAATCTTTACATCTTATATACTTCTATTAAGCATTACATTTTGCTTCACTTTATTTAAACATGATGTAAAAACTAGATAATATGTGTTAAATATAATTTTTTATAACTAGGTAAAAGATACATGTTCTATTTTAATCTATCTTAGTAAATGCTCTAAAAATTCTAGAGTCATAATTCATAGTTATTCTAAATAAAACCATCAATGGTATGAAAAAAGAAGTAAGCGAAATAAGCTTCTACTTTTTAGACAAGTCATATTTAATTATATATAGCACTGTAGCTCTGTTCTTTCATTGTTCACCGATTTGCTTGAGTGGGAACCACTAACGTCTCCATTGTGAGACTTATTGTTACTGTTTTTGGCATATCGAATACACCACGGGGAGCTTGCCAGCCTCTGTCCGGCAGGTGGGATAATCTCGGTAGCTTGCTGGGCTCTCCAAGAGGGATGGAGGAATGGAACCCAGTTCGACCGCATGCAAGGCAAATGCCCTACCTGCTGTGCTATCGCTCCAGACCAATTATATGTATAATATATATTGCTTAAGGCTATGGACATGTTTTCATGCTCAGCATAATACTTTGATAAAAATTCTATAATTTTGCTTCAAAAGCACACCTAATGTAAAAGAACTATTTTACTCTTATGTGTATGATCAGACTGGAAAAAACTGAATGATATAGGCTTGATCATTGATGTCTGTGACAAGCCTAAATATACTAACATTTCCTTTTATTCACATGGTCCTTGACAAAATTCATTGTTCCTCTCTCATTTTATGTTGTAAACACACTTTTATATACGTTCTTCCATGCAATAAATTGATGATTCTTGGAAAATACTTGTAAAGTTTAATAGATGTGCATTCTGGATTATATTGTAAGTGATAAATTGACATTCCTATTGCTATTCAGGGACACTGACAATGCATTACTACTGTTATTAACTTTGACTGTATATACAAAGTATCTGACACATAATATGGATTAAAAATATAAGTATTTAATTTAGTGAGAAAAATTTTATTCTGCTAACAATGCACATTGCTAGTGCAAAATTTTTTATTTTAAAACTTTCTTTCAAGAAGAAATAATCAGAACTTCACCAGAATTCCGTACAAAAGAAAGAGTTTTGTTTATTTTTTGCTTAAATAGTAATATTTAAAAGATCTAAGAGTTCAGGGTTTCCATTTCCTAAAATGGAAACACTCCTAGTTAAGAGAAAAGTTAAAAAATAAGACAGAATTTTATCATTATTATTATGATTATTATTGTTATTATTATTATGTAGCAAAATAATTCCTCCTAAGAGAGAATGGAAGAAACAGAAAGAGAAGTGAGGCAGGAAGGCGGGCAAGAAGGCAGGAAGGCAGGAAGGAAGAAGGGAAGAAGGGAAGGAGGGAGGGAGGGAAGGAAGGAAGGAAGGAAGGAAGGAAGGAAGGAAGGAAGGAAGGAAGGAAGGAAGGAAGGAAGGAAATAGAATAAAAGAAAAAGAAAGGAATATTAAAAAGAAAGGGTAGGTAAGGTAAAAAAAGAGCAAGGACCAGGGAAACAGAAGGGAAGAAATATAATTATGTATCTCCTCTTAAGTAATATGCATATCAAAGAATGAAGTTGGGGTCTTGAAAACAAATGTCACCTTGCTGCTGCACTAGTGATGATCTTCAAACTGCCTGGGTTCCGAATAAGCTTGTCCAGAATGCTGACAATCTGCTCAAACTTGGGTCTGTTGTTTCTGTCTTTCTGCCAACAGTCCAACATCAGCTGATACAATGCAGCTGGGCAGTCCATGGGGGGTGGCAGCCGATAGCCCTCATCCACAGCCTTAATGACCTGCATGAGAAACAAAGTTTCCAGGTACTTAACAGGTGGCTCTTTTTTACTTCTTCCTGGACAGGATATGCTCGCTTGAGTGTTTTAAATTTAAGTGTAAAAGTCTCATTTTAAAAAGGTAAAATCTTATTAAATCAGTAAGAAATTAATTTCCAAAATGTTAAACAAATATCCAAAGAGGGAAAGTAAATTTAAAGGAAGTGTTTAGAAATCATTTTCAGATAAAAGCAAAAGAAATGCTCTATGTTACAGAAAATGTAGTGAATTCTGAAGAAATTTTATTTGAAAATATAGATTTCCAAGGAAACTGCATGAATGAATGCAAAATAGTAAAAAGAGCATTTTGATTATTATTATACCATACTTCAAGTGATGCAAATGTGTTTCTTTGGCCAAAAGTATAGGTACTGCACTATTAACTAGTTACTCATTCCTTACATTTTAAGTTTTGTAACAAAGTATTTTTCAAATATTGCTGTGCACAGGAATTATTTGGAGTGCTTATTAACATATTATTAAATATTCATATTTTAGAAGTGTAGAGTAGGATAAATCCTTTGAATTTATATTCCTAAAAATTCTTTGACCATGATAACGTGCTGGTCTAGAGACGAAACTAAAATCTTCTGATACAGATAGCGTTTGGAAAATAGATAAGCAGAAAATTAAATTTGATGTTCTAGTATAATTATAAAAATGACTTGTTTCAAGAAATTCAAATAGGTTTTTAGACTAAATACATTAAAATCAATTTTACATGGGGTAAAGATGAAATAATTTAAAAGCATCTCCATTTTCCTTCATATGTATTTTTGAGATCATAGTTTCTGGGGAAACATAAAGAAAAAACCTGGGTGTCAATTTCACATGCCAAAACCTCCTCTTACTAAAGATTAGCAAAGCATAGCTTATAAAAACAAAAGCTCTTTTGAAAAATCGTATCAGAATTACAATAGAGAGCTAAAACCATTTTAATCCATCCAGAAACTTTAGCTTGTGTAACTAAATTCATGTGCAAATTTAATACATTAAGAGAAACAACATACTAAAGATTTGTTGTTTTGTCTAATTTTACGAAATAGTATATTTAAGTAAACAAAATATTGGCATAGATGCATTATCTAAATCTCCAAAGAATGGCAGACATATGCATATTATATTACATAGAAATAAGTTAGGAGAAAAAGTACTTCAAACACTCCTTGATATCTAAAGGTTATCTTGTTAGTAACTTATTTCATTACATTCTCACTACAAATATCTTAAATTGGACCTTGCTTAAGGGTAAAATGCAGAGTCATAAGAGCAACTTAATGAATGTCCTTGCAAGAGTTGGAAAACTTCATTTAAGTATTCAATTTCAATGTCACAAACCCAGAGCCACCTGGTTTCATTATGCTCCACTTCCTTGCACAGCTTGATCTCTTAATCTGAACCCATAATTCACAGAATACAAATACTTACATCCTGATTGGACATTTCCCAGTATGGTCTCTCTCCATAGGACATCACCTCCCATAGAACAATCCCATAACTCCATACATCGCTGGCAGACGTAAACTTGCGGTAGGCTATAGCTTCTGGTGATGTCCATCGAATTGGAATCTTCCCTCCCTTTTAATATAAATTGATATGTAATTATATGATTAAAGCAGAAAACAATACTATATATTACAACTTGAATGTTACCTGAGTTTGCGGGGTATTTCTCTTCTGAAATGGAACATGAGTTTCTGCTAAATAAACTTGGTATTCTATTATTTTTATATCATCAGGAATGACTATTCTACTGTTTACTACAATAATTAGTTCCAATCAATATGAAAGAATTTTGAAATGATGAAAGTAAAACTTTTAAAGTTGTTCTAATAGTGATATTATATTAATCATGGCATGTTAATTTGCAGCAAAACAACTTGAAGCAGACATTCTATACCATAGATTAGAATTGAACAAAATATCTCAAATCAATTATTGATTTAATATACCTTTACCCATACCAAGCATTCAATTCATAATATTAAAAAGTTAGTATGCATAGATAACTTATACTACTCCTTTACACAAAAATCCTTTTAGATATTTTACTAAATAAATCCAAAATAAAACTCTGCTACAAAAGTCTTTTTGCTATATATTAATCAATCTTTATTAGCGTATTCAGTGTCTCTCCCCATTATTAATCCCTGCAGTGCATTCTATATACTAAGTGGGTACTATCTGAACTAGATAAAATAACTTAATCCTCATAACTTATAAAGTAAGGGAGGATATTGCTTTTATGAGTTATGGGAGATATAAAGGTATAATTCCCTTGGAATTTGCTCTCAGTTTAATAAATACATTTAATAAAGACATGTCGAGTAGCGAGCATATGGGAAATATTAAACTAGTCACTCTGCATAAGACATTTATAAATAATATACTAGCCCTTCTGTTTGGAAAATATCAAGATAATTAGTTATTGTGCATCAATATATGGAGAAAGAAGGAAAGCTCTAATGCTTTGCTTCTCAAACTTTACAATGTATGTGAGTTACCAGAGAATAGCCTCTACTAAGCTGAAAATTCAGGTTCTGAAGTTCCAGAGTATTACAGGGTTTATATTTTTTCAAAAGCTCTAGGCGATACTAAATAGGACCCTATATATCACATGAAATAGAAGTAAATAGGCTGCTGTGATGAGCACACAGCGCTGAAATTCTTCTAGAGAGATTGAGGACCTGACCTGTGAATTGACCTTTGAGAGAAGATTACAGTATTATAGTATAGAGTGTGTGTATACATATATATATATATATATATTATCTTACACCAATTTACATCACAAAAATCTTAAGCCCCATTCAAAAAATGATTTCTATTGATTTTGTAGCTCCACCAACACTTCCTTGGTTTTGAGATGATACTCAAGGGAAATAAGTGGCTTAAGAAAACTGGATAAGCCATTTAGGAGATGCTCATTCTTCCTGAATTTTCTTATCTATTATTTAGGATAGTATAAGTGCAAGTTAACAGATTGCAATAGGAATAAATGATACATTTAAGTAAATGTATCAATGTAATAATGATACATTTAAGTAAATTTCTGAGCATGGTTTCCTGCATATAGGAACAGTTCTGCAAATATTAGTTTCCATATTGTTCCAAGAAATGATACACATCAAAGCACAAGTGAAGAAAATAGGTATTATAGAAGAACTGTTTCTAGTATAATTATACAAGTGTATGTAGACACCCCTAATGAGAAAAGCTGTTAATAGGTCAAATTATGATTTAATCACAGGATAACTGAACAGGTTTTAGTCTTCAGAAGAGAGTGGTATATGTAACTTAAATATTTTAATAAACTATGCTTCTCTTTTATGTTCTCACATATACATACTTTTGTGGGTGTGTTTCTGTGTGGGCTGGAGTGATAGCACAGCGGGTAGGGAGTTTGTCTTGTCAGGCCAACCCAAGTTCGATTCCTCCGCCCCTCTTGGAAGGCTGGAAAGCTACCGAGAGTAGCAAAGCATGGCAAGCTAAAGGTGTTGTATTTGATATGCCAAACATAGTAACAGAAAGTCTCATATTGTTATTGGGCCCACTCGAGCAAATCAATGAACAATGGGAGGACAGTGCTACAGTGTGTGTGTGTGCAGAGAACATGTAGTCAGATCCATGAAGGTTTCAGATGGATATGGCCAGCTGAGTTTACAACTGGTTTTGAGGAAGGCATAAAAATATAGACAAGAAAAAAACATATATAGACAAGATACAGAAGGCAGATTAATCAACAACACCTTCTTAAGAAGCCAGGAGACTTAGGGTAGTTGGTGATTCATTATAGTAGAATAAAATTAATCAAATTGGAGGGATAAGAGCAAGAATACAGAGACTTGGAGTTGCTGAGAGATAATACAGAGTTCAATGTAAATGGAGAGTGATGGTTTAGAACCAAAAAAAAGGAATTGAAAACTTTTCTAGTCCTGAAGAAGAGAAGGAATAAAATCCAGATCCTCTCCTTTCTTTTCTCTCTCACTCATACTCATTCACTTCCTTCTCTGTGGTTTGTACAGTTTGTTTTCACTTTTCTCTATAATTCCTGAAATATTCCTTCTTCCTAATTTATTTAGTGGATTATTTCCCTTCCGTTTAGAAAACTCAATCCTAAAAGTAACAATAATTTGTATCCCTTCATTTATTTTTCTGTGCCTTTTCTGTTCCTAGGCCAAGTTCAAGACTTACAGCATCATCTCTAAACTTTGATAATAAAAGATCTATGCATGTAGCTTGTAACTAAATATATTCAGAAAGTAAATTGAATCACTGGTTAATTTTCCCTTGTATAAAGATTTCTGGAAGTTAACAGAAGTAAAACAAAGCTGTATTCATGGGGCAATGGAAAGATGATATGTAAGAATATCAGTAAAATACTCTATCTTTGCCACATATTATTTTCCATTATCTTACAGTGTCCAGAAGAAAATTACTGATTATATAAAAAGGCACTGAAAAAGAAAAATCTTTCCTGTGCTGAAAACTTTGTATCTATTTGGAAATACAGGACATATAAATGTGCCACTTTACCAAATTTCCTTGTTGAAATGAAATCCATACCAGAGGAAAATAAACTGATGACATTCATGATCAAGGAGTCAATTGATTAAGTTTCACTGCAACCAGTATTCAAGTGAAATATGTCTAAGATACTTCAGCTTAAAAGCTGTATCACTATTTTCCAGAGAAGAGCATCAATTGAACTTTAATAGACTTTCTTGAGATACTAAAAAGTGGCCATTTGGAAAAAATACATGGCCACACCTGTGTTTATTCTGAAAAAGTTTTCATGTGGAGTTTGGAGTATGCACAAAATATTAATCAGAGTCATGTTAATGATAGTGATCACCCCGCTAATTCTCACAGCAGAATCCTTAGTCTCTGCCATCGCTTAACTGGAATTTGTACAGTGTTTTCTTCCATTGCTACATATTCATGTTTTCGTGTGTGTGTGTGTGTGTGTGTGTGTGTGTATTTCCAAACAAATACTATTAATATTATAAAATCATTGTCTAAAACTCACACAAAATCTAAAGATACATTTTATAATGTATGATGCAGTATCTATTTTGGGAGACCTCCTAAGCAGTGCTCAGGAAACCTAGAGGCTGCTCCAGGTAATGTTCAGAAACTATTCAGTGCAGGAATTGAAATCGGTTCTTTGTACTTATAAGGTATGATTCCTTTCCTCATGAGCAATTTACCCTTCCTAGCTCAGGAAAGTTATAAATTTGTCTGCAAACAATTACATTTTTAATTTTATTATCTTGCTACTATATTTTAATATTGATATAGTCTGCAGAATATATGCATATAAACACATTATGGGTAGAAAATACTTTATAACAATTTCTGGAATTTATTGGCTGATCAAATGATTTGTACATTTTATTTTACTTGTATTACACCGACATTTGGGGGTTCCAAGTTACACTAACTCTTGACAAAATAAAATGTTTCAGTGCACTGTGTTACTTTGGAAAAATATGTCACATTGAATAGTTATCATCTGGGAAATCGCAAAATTTTTCCATTTGTTAGATATTTATTAGATTTGAAATACAGATTTTGGCCTTTTTACTTGTTTGTCATTCTGATGTTTAATCTAAGCTTTTCTCTAGCTACTATCTATATCAAACGTTGAATTTCTTATTTGAAGGCAAAAAAAAGTTGGACAAGCTGATTTATTATTTTTTTTAATTCTAAATATGTTACACTCAACCCAAGAGTCAAAGATTGGCATTAAATCATCAGCATTTAAGGTAGTTTGCAAAGTGCAATGTTTCATGACTCTGTTTCAGCTCATTGTTCAGCGAACTCACAGACTTACAAATTCATGACCCTCATCCTACCCCATTTACAAACTGCAGTCTGGTAAATGATGCCATCTATCACAGAGAAAACCCTAGCAGACAATAAAATATACTTATCATCTTCCCTAAAATTCTATCAATAGTATGCTGGTTAAAAATCCCTGCCACCGTTTTATTTCAAATTAGTTATGGGCAATGGTGACTATTTTTCTTTTATTTAAAATCAGAAAAATATCATGTTGTTTGTCAACTGGGGGGAAAGCTAATTCATTTTGGTGTCACTTATTCTATCAGTCATAGTAGAAAATGTTAAATTTAAAGAAAATTTCTGCTTAAAAGAAATTTTTGCTGTCTTATTTAATAAATTTTTCATACCAGTAATACGAATATATTACCATGGAAACAAATTGGAAGGAAAAAAGGGTGAATCATTTGAATATTTCTTAAAACTTGGGCACTTTATTATTTGCTTTGTGTATGATAAGTCCACTGCCAATGACAAAAATACTAAATAAGTAATCCTGCCATTCTTATTTCTATAATTTGAAACCAAGTTTTTGAAAATGCTTTTCTCAAGGAATGAATATTCAATAGAGATAATGCATTATAATATCAGTTGTATTGAACATAAACAGCATGAACCTGTGCTTACTAAAGGGAAAAAAATTGTTTAACTGAATATTATCTTGGTAAATATGCAAAGCATACACTCAATAACATAATCATCTTCACCCGAATTTGTTTTTTACTGAATATGTA